ACCATCGCCCTCATCCGCACCCCCTTCCTCCCGCCCCGCTACGCCTCCTTCTACGTGCCGCTCAACCTCAACAAGCTCGACATGCGCGACTACCTGCAGCGCGCGTACGGGGTCGGCGTGCTGGCCGTGCGCAGCTTCGTCGAGCAGCAGAAGGTCACCCGCATGAAGTCCCGGGGCCGGTTCGGGTACGGTCCGCTGCGCCGTCCGCAGAGCAAGAAGCGGATGACCGTTGAGATGAAGGAGCCGTTTGTGTGGCCCGAGGCGCCGAAGGAGATGGATAAGTACGTTGTCTTTGCCCTTGCCCTACCTTCCCCTTTTACCCTTGCTGTGGTTGCGGTGGTTTGCGTATGCAATACACGGGGCTGTGCTGTGCTGTGTGTGATACAATGCTAATTCTCCGGCACAACACAAAACAGGTGGGAGAAGGACCAGTACTACAAGGCCGCCAAGTGGCAGCAGGAGATGCAGGACGCCCAGAAGCCCGAGGCAGGCATGTTGGCCCCCACCAAGGAGCGCGAGTCGTACGCCGCCGAGGCCGAGAAGATCCTCAGCGGCGAGAAGCCCTGGCGCCCGACTTGGCAGGCCCTGGGGTTGAATTACGACCGCGCGGTGCGCGGGAAGGCGGCTACTAGTCCTAAGGATGGGTCGAGGTCGTGAGTGTTGAGGTGAGGTTTGAGGGTTGTTTGAGGTGCATATGAATGGGTTGGGTACACTGAATGGATGATATCCAGGGAGAGGAGGATGAAATACGGTGAAAAATCCTGGACTTGGGAACAGGGCTGGCTTGTTCCTTTGGGGTTATGTATTTTCTTTTGGGGCTTTTTTCTTTCATGGTCGCGCTGTATTATATCGCTTTGGGTTTATAAATACATTTTCTTTTTCTCTTTTGGTTCGTTTGGTTTGCGGAGTTGGGATGTGGGTTGATTGATAATAAGTGTATTGGATAATATGCCGTTAAAATTTGAGTATTGGGTGATAATAAGACAAAAATGGGCGGAATAGCAAAACGCTGCATCGAACAAAACCCCGCTGGCTGCTTAAATCATAAAACAAGAGCATTATCTACAGTTATCCCATTCTGAGAGAGTATCAAACCGGTCTACAGCCGGCTCTCGATGAAATTGGCCTGGTGTTGCCCCGGCCAGTGAGCGTCGGGCCACACCTGTCGAATGGCTTCCCAGATGTGTCTGATAGCCAAGCATTAGTGAAGGTACCAAATCACTCGAAAAGAGAAACTTACTTGACGTAGATGATCTCTAACCCCTCGTTGACCTCCTGCGGTACATCCTTCACATCCTTCCGGTTGTGTTGCGGCAGAAGGACGGTCTTCACGCCTGCACGCAGCGCTCCGATCAGCTTCTCCTTGATTCCGCCCACCGGCATCACCTTCCCGCGCAGCGAAATCTCACCGGTCATGGCGAGACTAGGAGGCACAGGCTTGCCGCTGAACAGTGAGATCAGGCCGATCGTGTGGGCGAGACCGGCGGAAGGACCGTCCTTCGGAACTGCTCCGGACGGGCAGTGCACGTGCAAGCTGCGGTTCTTCATGATGTCCTCGTTGGGGTCCGCGGACAGTCCCAGCTCGTAGGCATGGGCTCTGACCCAGGTCAAAGCAACTTCAACACTCTCGCGGAGGACGCCACCCAAGTTACCAGTCAGCTGGATATTGCCGTTGCCCGGCATATCAGCCACTTCGATGAACAGGATACTGCCTTGACCTCCGGTGGAGAAGGCCACGAGGCCCGTGACCACGCCGGGCCGGCCATGCTTCTCCGCCAGTTCCTCGTAGAAGCGCTCGATGCCGAGAATATCCTCCAGATCCTCGAGGCTCACCACGGGATTGTACGCTTCCAGTCGGCCGGCGTCACCTGCGTCGGCGTACTGCACGGCCTTGGACCGGCAGATCGAACCGATTTCACGCTCCAGGTTCCGTACTCCAGATTCCATGGTATACGACGTGATGACTTTGTCGAGAACCTCGTCCGATAAGATGACTTGGCCTTCAAAGAGTCCGTTGGCCCGGACCTGCTTGGGAATAAGATGTCTCTTGGAAATGTGTCGCTTCTCGATGTTCGTGTAGCCAGACAACTGTATTGTCTCCATACGGTCGAGGAGCGGGGCGGGAATGGTCTCTAGCGAGTTGGCCGTGGCAATGAAAAGAATCTTGCTCAGGTCAATTGGGATACCGATGTAGTGATCGGTGAAGGTGTGGTTCTGTTCGGGGTCCAAGACTTCAAGCATAGCTGCCGAGGGATCGCCCTGGAAATTCGCTCCGCCCACCTTATCAATCTCATCCAGCAGGAAGACCGGGTTAGCCACACCGACCTTCTTCAGACCATTGACGATCAAACCAGGCATTGCGGCAACGTAGGTCCTCCGATGACCTCGGATCTCTGCTTCGTCCCGGACACCACCCAGGGATATCCGATGGAACTTGCGACCCAAGGAGGCAGCCACGGACCGTGCCAGACTTGTCTTTCCGACACCCGGAGGGCCGACAAGCAGAAGGATCGGTGATTTATCGCCGATGCGCTTGGACTCCAACAGGTGTAGCTTGGTCTCAAGAGCAACCCTGTCTGCTTCCGATAGCGTCGGAACATCCTTTTCGATGTCGCCCGCATCGGAAGCATCCAGTTCCTGGGTGAGGCTCTCGATCTGGCGTTGCACATCTTTGTTAGAGGTTTGCTTTAGACGCAGCACCGCCAAGTACTCGAGAAGCCGCTTCTTGATCTTCTCCAGGCCGTAATGGTCGTCGTCTAATTGCTGGCGAGCTCTCTTCAGAGTCTCAGGACCAAGCTGATCTTCGGTGACCTTGGTCCAGGGAATGTCGGCAATATTCTCGAGGTAGCTTCTGCACACACCGTACTCTGCATTCGCAGGGTTCATCTTCCGGAGACGACGCAACTCCTTATCCGCGACTTTCCTAGCTTCAGGACTAAGCTCAGCGTCATTGAGTCTTTTTTGGAGCTCGTCAACCTCGTTCGCTTCTTTTTCATCGCCGTCGTTGTTCCGGCCGCTTGTCATCCCCGGCGGCGTCAATCCCGCCAGGCCTGCCATTGCTCGTTTGGCCAGCAGCTCCCGCTCGCGCGGATCGATCTGGCTGATATCAAATGAAGACCCGGGGAATGTATTGGTAGTGATGGTCGTGACTTTGACGTTGCTCTTGATATTCTGTACCTGCCGACTCAGAATCTCGATGGCGCCTTCTAGCCTGGCTCGGACATCGAACGAGGCCAGAATGCGGAGCTTCTCCTCAAAACCCGAGTCGGCAACATCGGCCATGAAGTCGGCCAGTCTACCTGCGTGGGAGATATCAGACTTGGTGATGAAGATCTCGAATTTACGAGCGATGATGGGCGATAGGCGGGTTCCCGCCGAGGGCAGAAGTGAGGAAAGTCGCAGAAGAGTCAATAGCTCCTTCGAAAGCTGTCTTAGCTGTTGGAACAGGTCGACCGTCTCAGTGTCGTTGATGACTGCGATTTCAGATGCGGATGATTAGTCAAAGACGTCATATAGCATTAACAGAGAAGAATAATGCAATGGACACAAACCTTTATCGTCATGGATGATGGTTTCGGCCTCAAAGAACGGCCGTTCCTTGAGGACTCGTTTGAGGGTGAAACGCTGAATTCCCTGGACAAGGAGGGATGGTTCTGCATAGGCACGGCGTTGGATGCCGATCACCTTGCCCACGGTGCCATACCGGAAGAGGTCCTCCTTGCGCGCTTGTCCCGCATCTATCATCTCGTACTCCTCCCGCTTGTCCTCCTCCAGGGTCCCATCATCGATGACCCGCTGGCCATCTTTGCTGAGATACGGGGAGCTGAGAGGGATGCATCCGAAGGTGACGATACTCCCATCCCGTTTCGCTGCGGGGGAGCGGTCCAGCACGGTGGTCAGGAGGTTCGCGATATCGGGTCGGTTGGAGACCGGAATCCGGAGAGTCACTCCGGGAAGTAAGACAGAGCCTTTGGGGAGCGGTACCAATGCAAGCTTGGTGGTTCTGCCGCTGTGGGAACCCATCGCGGGATGACGGATGCCAGATCAATTCAAACGTGGGTCGCAAAGGGTACAATGATTGAAGCTGAGAGAAGAATGACAATAAGAGAGGTAGGGTGTGGTCGTTTCAGCTGAGCCAATATTAAGAGAAAGAGAGAGAGAGAGAGAGGAAAAGGAGGTGGGAAAACGTGGGATAGAATAGATTGATGGGTAGTTTAAGGGGAAGAGTTGAGAAACGTGAGGAGAGAAAGTGATTAGAAGCTCAAGGGTAGATGGATGGATGGATGGATGGATGGATGAAAGAAGGCAGGCAAGCGTGACACTCCCGTCTGGGGTTGGGGGTGAGGCGGAGAGGAGGAGAAGATCGAAAGATAAGCGCACTCCCTCCCGATCATGCCGAGGTTCGCAGCCGTCAGACGACCAACCCTGAGTTAAATAACCCCCCAAAACCTGGGGGATTCTCCTCTTGTCTCACTTGCTCCTTGCTCTTCCACCAGCTTCTATCCCCTTTGGGTTCGATCTGATAAGAGTACATTGTCGATCAAGATGGTCGCAATTATGAGTACGGAGTACTACTGAGGATACTAAGTTAGTCCACACTCACCATGACGTGTATTGAACAGTAGGATCGCTTATCGTGATGCTCTCTATCGCGAAGAGGCAAAAAGGGCCCCAGTTGTAAGATTACCGCTGTAAGATTACAATATCCCACTATCTTTGCCCCGGACCGGACAGTCCAGCCGGGTCGTATGACAAAACAGAACCCGCAAAAAATACCCGGAGGAAAATGTGCTCGAGCCGGAGATCCAACTTTAACCATTAAGTTACTTGACAGCACGCTTTCTATTGCCACTACCTCTGACCCCCCCCCTCAATCCTTAATTGACCCCATCTATTTGTTTGTCCTTTCGGAGCGCATTCCCGTTCTATTCTCCTCTTTCACCCACCCGCTTCTAATCTCCTCTTCCCTGCTCTTATTTCCCCCCCCAAACACCGTCGGAATGGCCTCTACCCCGCTCGCCAGCGCAAACGCCGCTGATCCCTCCTCCCGCAAGGTCTTCACCATTGGGACGCGCAAGTCCAAGCTCGCTCTGCTCCAAACCGATTTGGTCCAGGCCGCCCTCAAGGCCAAATGGCCCGAATATGAATTCAAGATCCACTCGCGTGAAACCGCCGGCGACCAGAACACCACCATCGCGCTGCGGGACTTCACCACCAAGAATCTGTGGACTCAGGAGTTGGAGGAGTTGTTGATGGCCGGTCATGTGGACCTCATTGTGCATTCGCTCAAGGGTAAGTGGTGTGGCGTGGCCCCCAACGGAAGAACAAGAAAAGGCTCCGGGAATTTTTGGGCTGACATACTTGTTGTTGTTGCAACGTAGATGTCCCCACTCTGCTGCCGCCCTCATGCACGCTGGGCCCGATGATGGATCGGGAAGATACGCGCGACGTCTTGGTCGTCAAGCAGGGATTGCCGTACAAGAGCCTGGCCGACCTGCCTGCGGGTTCGGTGGTGGGCACCTCCTCCATCCGCCGGACAGCCCAGTTGGCGCGGCGGTACCCCCATCTCAAGGTTACGGATGTTCGCGGAAACATCGGCACTCGTCTGTCGAAGCTGGACGCGGAGGATAGCCCGTACGCCTGTCTGATCCTGGCGGCCGCCGGACTGCTCCGTCTGGACCTGCAGGATCGCATCACCGCCTATCTGGACTCCCAGAACGCCGGCATGCTCTACGCCGTCGGGCAGGGGGCGCTGGGGATCGAGGTCCGCAAGGATGATCGGCTTGTGCTCGACATGTTGTCGGGCATCGGTCACCAGGAGACGACTCTGGCCTGTTTGGCGGAGCGCAGCCTGCTGCGCACCCTGGAGGGTGGCTGCAGTGCCCCCCTGGGTGTCGAGTCGGAGTGGGTTCGTGATGCCGATGGCTCGTCCAAGTTGAGGATGCGGTCGGTTGTCGTCAGCGTGGATGGCAGTGAGAGCTCCGAGGTGGAAGTGGATGGCTCTGTGGATACCCCTCAGGCTGCTGAGGAGTTCGGGGTCACGGTCGCCAATGCTCTGGTGGCCAAGGGCGCTGGAAAGATCCTCGAAGAGATCCAGCGGAACAAGCAGGCATCTCAATGAGGTCTTGTACAGTACAACGATGTTGTGATGGACAACGATGTTGTGGTGGAGATGCTGGTCCTCTCCTTCACGGAAGGCATGAAGGATATGAAAAAGACGGATACCCATACAAGGAAACGGCACGTTGCAGGTTTAGATAGATTATGATATAACAACGCGATTCATAAGGCATATATCTGCGTCGATGGCAGATCTAGCGAGAAAATATATGCATTCATTATATGTGCTCGTCTCATGGCAAGACCCAGACCAAGAAACCAAATCATCAGTATCTATGTAGCATTCATGACAATCATCCTCTATTCAGAGTGTTTCCCGAGCCTCGGGGGTTTGCTTCCTTGAACTCATCCCAGGCCCGGGCCTTCATAGTCTCTCCATCGGCGATATCGTGGTCGTCTTCGTCGACCTCTGGTTTGATCCCGGACGCCTCGCCTCCCCCTTCGATAACGTTGCCCCGCCTTCGCTCCTCTTCGAGGTATTCATCGATTGTCATAGTTGGCAGGTTGTGCCCGGAGCGGAACACGCCCTGCTGCAGCTGGGTGCGGCGATCCAGCAATGTAAAGGGCTGCATCGGCCGTCCCTCCTTGCTCAATATCGGCCCGAGCCTTCCTCCTCTCAAGAGCTCGGCGATCGGGCGATCCAGTCGCTCGGAGTAGCCCGATTCGGCGTCCCCATTGCGTCTCCGGGGGTCATCCTGCGACAGCTCGGTGGGGTTGGGGGGTGCCGTGCGCATCGTGGCCAACATAGACAACTCCTGCGACAGGAGGTCGAGCAACTGGAACGTCTGGTGGGCGTAGAGCGCCAGCTCCGCCAGGTACAATGCGCGCACATCGTCTTCATCGCTCTGCAAGCGGTCTTTGTTCTTGGACAAGTACTGTTTTTGGGGGGTCACATTGAGTAAGCGGGGCGGTCTCGTTCATGTCAAGAATATTTAGTAGTGGTGGTGGTGGTGGTGCTGTCTAACCTCGAGTTTCTGCTTCAATTCCTTCTCCTCCCGGAATCGGGTGATCTTCACCTCGCGCCGGACCGCCGCATCGTTGGTAGGGGTGAGGGAGAAGGTGGACGGGTTGGCCGCGTACCGCTCGTAGAGCTTCTTGTCGCTGGCGCTGAGGATGTCGTATTCGTCCAGCCGGGAGAGGAACTTTTCGTATTGGCTCAGTGCACGGCGGAGGGAGGCTTCGCGGTCCGATGTGTAGGTTCTTTGGAGGAGGTCGGCGAGCAGGTATTCGACGGTCAGGTATCTGCAGTGAGAGAAAGAGGAGTGTGAACAAAAGACAATCTCAGATCAAGTGTCGAAGGGATGGGGCCAGTACTGTAGATCTCCGGTGGAGATATCCTCGAGAGCTTCGTTGGAGCTAAACAGCGACAGCAAGCTCACTAATCGTTGGCATTCCTCAAGCTTGGCTATGACTGCGTTGACATCACTGCGATAAGCATCCGTGTTGCTGTCGAACCGCCCTTCCAGCGCGGACTTTTCGGCTTTCGCCTCGGTGAACAGGGTGCGTAGGTTCTGGGGTTGTTCCATTGGGTGTGATTTTGCGTCTTGCGGAGGATGGTGCTGGGAGATTTGCTGGAGGGAGTTGAAGCTGAATACGGAGGATGGCCTCGAAGAAATAATTCCTGGGCCCGCCCCGCGGCAAGCCCCGCATCTATCAGTTTAGGGGTGGATCCTTGCGCTCCATCCCGGTTGCTGGGAAGTATATATATTCAACACTAAACTTATTGCTCCGGTCTAGTCCTGTCTATGTTATTGGCTTATTTGCGAAGGCTAGATACTTGTAATGTCAGTTGTAACGAGCAGATACCTTTGGCGAAGATCATTTCGAAGTTGTGTAACGCCCATGTATCTTTTCGAAGACAAGTCTCCGGCCGGGGTGTGAGACATTCACCCACTACAAACAGACCGCACGTTTGTTGTATGGTTTGTATTCACTGCACGACACGGTAACACTGGCAGCAGCTGTTGATGTGAGGTTCAGCCCACTGCAAGACTTGACCATTCCATTGAATACTCACTTTACCTCTTTCTGCATCTCTGACATGAATAACTTCCCTCTCTCCGCCACAATCATCCTGCTCCGAGTCGAGAGCAAAGCATGAAAATGACCGGGTCAAACGTCGAAAACCTCAGCGCCGAATTTCTGGGCATCCCTGCCTCCAACAGTAAGAATCGCACCTCAAGCACCACTAACGAAATCAGTGGAGTCGAAATCTCCTCAGAGGACGTCGAGAACGCTTCCAGCTCGTCTGACTCGGATGAAGAAGAAGAAAGCATCAACCCAATGGATGCCTCGCAACGACGGAGACTCCAAAATGCCAAGTTCAACGTCCTGTTAGTTCATTCCATCACTTACCCTTCATTTCTGGATGTAACTGACACTCGCATAGCTTGTCCAAGCGCGCTGTCACCGATCCAGTCGCCACCAACAAAAGGGTGGCTCCTGATCTGCCGGATGCTCAGCTTTCGACCGCTCACTTGATAGTCAAGCATGATCTTGCCACTGGTACCTTGGACCCAAGAGACTACCAGGTGGAACTATTCGAAAGGGCCAAAGCACAGAACACGATTGCCGTTCTTGAAACTGGTATAGATTGACATCTACTCACCAAGTCTGGCATATCTGATCCATGTGAGTTATAGGCTCGGGAAAGACTTTGATCGCAGTGCTGCTGCTGAGGCATACACTGCAGAACGAGCTAAATGATCGTGCTCAAGACAAGCCGCATCGCATATCTTTTTTCTTGGTGCGTATACCTCTCCATGGTTATATGAGAAAGCTTACACGTCTACAGGTTGATAGCGTTGCTCTCGCGTTTCAGCAAGCGGCAGTGCTGCGTCACAACCTTGATCAGAGCGTTGGTCAGTTCTTCGGCGCCATGGGAACTGATCTATGGAACAAGGAGATCTGGGATGAGCATTTCAAGACAAACATGGTCATTGTCTGCACGGCGGAGATCCTGCATCAGTGCTTGCTCAATTCTTACATCAGGATGGATCAGATCAATCTCTTGATCTTTGACGAAGCTCATCATACCAAGAAAGATCATCCGTATGCACGGTGGGTGCATTGTATGACAAAACTCGAGTACAATGCCTAACTGGGCTTAGGATTATTCGTGACACATACCTGAAGGAGGTTCCTTCAAAACGGCCAAGGATATTTGGGATGACGGCTTCGCCAGTGGACACCAAAGGTGATGTGGTCGATGCTGCGATGTATGAACAGGCTTTCCTCTTTCTCTCAGATGCACTTGCTAACGTCTCATAGGAGACTCGAAACATTGCTTGACAGCACTATTGCCACAACATCCCAGGCTACCTTACTGCGCCAATATGTCAGTCGTCCAGTCGAAGAAACGTGGGAATACACGATATTGGAGCCCCCGGTAGCGACAGCCTTGTACAAAGATCTCAAGCAGCGTTTTGGTGATCTCGAGTGTCTCGAGGGCATTTTCAAATTTGCCTGGCAGGCAACCTCTGAACTAGGTAGTTGGTGCTCGGATAGAGCATGGCTACGTGCTTTAGCAGATGACGTTCTGCCCAGACTCGAGGGGAAGATCAATAAGTCGGTTGAGTCTAATAGTTCACTCATTGAGTCCCGGGATACACATACACAAATCTTGCGAATCAGAGAGGCCAGCGACCTTGTCAAAAGACATGAGCTCACTAGCCCTCTCGGTCCAGGAGCGCTAAGCTCTAAGGTGCAGCTGCTCCGTGCAGAGCTGCAGAAGCGCTTTCTGCATCCAGATCAGACAAAGTGCATTGTCTTCACAGAGAAACGCTACACCGCGTTGATGCTGTTTGAGCTTTTCAACAACTTATGTATCCCTTTCCTTCGACCTGGTGTGCTTATTGGAGTTCGATCGGGTGACGTTGCAGGAATGGGCATAACCTTTCGTCAGCAATTTCTTACCTTGATCAAGTTCAGAGAAGGAGAAATCAACTGCCTGGTATGGATGCTCCTGCCTACAGAAACAATAATGCTGACTAGATAAGTTCGCTACCTCGGTAGCTGAAGAAGGTCTCGATATCCCGGACTGCAATCTCGTTGTTAGGTATTCAGAACTACACATCCACCATTGAGAGGGTCTGACTTATAGCATAGGTTCGATCTTTATCAGACACTCATTCAGTACGTGCAGAGCCGTGGCCGTGCCCGACACTACAGGTCAACGGTATGAGAGATGACTCCCGATCCGCCGAGGTCAACGCTTATGTCATTTACAGTATGCAATTATGGTCGAAAAGTACAACCCGCAGCACCAGGGCCGACTGTCGGAGGTTCGAGATGCCGAGGTAGGTTTACATCGTGCTTACAAGAGCCGGGCTAATCTGATACAGAGCATAATGCAACAATTCTGCGAAGCTCTGCCTGAGAACAGATTGTTGCATGGAAACGATGACCTAGAAAAGGTTTTGGAGAAAGAAGCCGGCAAGCGGACTTTCACCATCCAAGCATCTGGTGCCAAGTTGACCTATCACTCCGCCATTGCCATACTCGCTCGCTATGCTAGCTCTCTGGTAAATGCGATCCATGTGATAGAATGACATTGTGCTGACGTAGCAACCATTCAAGCAATATGAGAAAGAGCAAGACGCGAAAGTGCACTATGTGGTACTTCCTGTCAACAATGCCTTTGTTTGCGAGGTTATTCTGCCTGAGAAGTCGCCAGTGGTAGGGCTCACTGGGAGCCCGGAGATCCGAAAATCGAGAGCAATGCAGTCTGCAGCATTTGATACCTGCATACGGCTACGCAAAGCTGGGTTGCTCGACAATCACTTCAAGTCAATGTTCCACCGTCGCTTGCCTGCGATGAGGAATGCCAAGCTTGCCATAACCTCCAAGCAGACTAGCCAGTACGACATGATAGTCAAACCGTCATTCTGGGAAGACAAAAGAGGCGAGCGTCCAAGTAGTCTTTACATCACTGTAGTCCTGTTGGAACCTTCTGGTCCGCTGACAAGACAACATGCAAGTCTCTTATTGCTAACTAGGAAC